TTGCATATTCAACCTGCCTTGCTATATACAGATTAAGAAGTAAATACGGAGTATGATTCATTCAGGCCGAATTAGCATATCGCAAAGTGATCTCCGTATATTTCGCGCGCGGTACTCGTCGAGTACGGCAATCATCAAGTCGGATCACTCCCGCGTATCTTATCGGCATTATCGATGCTCTGCCATTGATCGTTCCGAGATCATGTACGCGTCGATCGTGTCTCGGGACGGTGAAAGACGACGTTCGGCGCGAATTGAATTCGTGAATTCGCACTATTTCGCCGTTGTGTATCGCGTCGAGATAAACGACGCGAGTAAAATAAATTCGCAAAACGGTGAAGTGATAAGGCTCTCGCGGTCGGGCGAGCGTTTTGCGAAACGAAACAGCCGTGGCTGCTCGAAATCGAGCGTGAGGCCCGCACTCGGTAATCGCACTCGGTCGCATAAGTTTCTCGCGATACGTTGTTTCTTCGTTGCACGAAATCCAGCTGCGATCGCGATAATGTCTGTCGGGATGTTAAATCGATTGACGAGCCTATAAATTTGCAGCTCGAATTTCCTTCTCGATTCTAAATCGGCGCTAAGAACCGACCGAGATCACACGCGGCGTTCGCGGATCGCTCTCCTCGTCGTCAGAGACGCGTGGGTGTAATCATATCGATTATAGCCGCACCAAGCCATGAAGCCTGGCATGACGCCTGGCGTCGTAATGGACACCCGAACTTTGTTCCTGCTTCGTTCTACGACTTCGTCGGCGCGACTTTTTAACGTCTTACGTAACGTTTACGCGCCGTAATCGCGCCATGTGCATGTAGACACGCGGATGACGGAAATGTAATATCGTTGCCAGTATCACGCTGCATTCCGATATTGTGTAATCTGATTACGCACGATGATCAAATGTCGTGTCAGCGGCGATGTAACCTGCCCGCTCGGAAATATCCCCGCGAACGCGAGAAATTGGCGGATCATGTAGAATAAGGACAAGCAACGTTTTGCAGTGCGATATACAGCGTGTTCATTTGAAAACTTTCCAGCTAATTATCTTGAAAACTATGAAGGATATTAAAAGAAGCTGAAACACGAGTTCCATGATTTCGAAGGAGATAGAGAATGGTATCATCAGTTTTTTATTTAGAGGGCATTTTCAAGATCAGTTGAAGGTCAACTTAATTTTTTAAAATAGAAAGCCCAATTTTCTATTATATCTTCTTTTTCCACCAATTAATTTTAACAACTTTTGTCTGAAACATTTTTTTATTTGCCAAATATTTTTTGAAATATTTAAGGAAAACTTGGTAACTTTTTCAACTTTAATTCAACTTACGATATCTCGCTGAACTTTCGACGAACTATTCGTCGAAAGAAAAAATAGTATTAGATCCTTTTACTTTATTTACTATCAAAAATATATTACTATAATAGTGCCCTAAATTTTTTTAATTTAACAATTTTGAAATTTCCAAAGGTCGATGAGTAATATATTGCAATATATTGTGATCTGTGGGAACGTGACGCGAAAGAGGGAACGATCTACTTCACGTTCGTCTTTATATAGCCGTCTTCGAGGGCGGTCGAATCGGCGTGGTTGTTACATACGGCAAATAAGCTATGATCGTAAACTTTGCACAGGTGTGCGAAGAGTGTAGGATCACAACCCGGAATGAACGTGAGAAAGCGGCAAGTCTATTAAAGTTGGTCTCACATTGTTCGGCTAGACGGCGACTGTCCTTTCATCCTCCGCCAAATTGTTCCTTCTTTTTTATAAGAATGCTTCAGGGACACTGAGAATATTCCGATGCGAAAGCATTGAAGAATGTTTTGACGGAGTCTTATCTGCCGTCTGATTTTGTGAAGCAACCTAACTTGTGATTTCAGCAGAATATTCATTTATATATTCATATTATATATTCATTTATATATATATTCATTTTTATTTATTTATTTTATTTATTAATAATATACAGGTCTGACCCCTTTGGTGTACAGGATTGATACAGTAAGTAATAAACGAGTAAGGAAATTCTCATACAATAAAAAGTGAAAGAAAATACAAAATAGCATATATATGGAGAAAAATATATAGAAAAAAAAAAGAGAAGAGAGAAAGAAAGAAAGAAAATGGAAAGAAAAAAAAGACAAAAAAATATATACATGACACTTGTCGTACAATTGACATCTTGAGGGCGATTTAGAGAGGTGCAAGATGTATAGGACCGTTGCTCTTCGCACCGCGAAGCGACGTCTTCGTTCGAATTTACAAGTCACACGCTCGCTGATGAATTCACCTGCCTTCTCACGATCCGCAGGACACGCGTCCGCGCACGATCCGCGCGATCTATTGGGACCGAGACGGAAGTGCGTCGCACTGACAATCGCCAATCGCACTTAACACGCTACGCTCCACCGGCTCCATCGTGGAAAGGCAACGACCTGGCTCGCGGCAATTCGCAAATTCGCGAGCAACGGCAAATACTATATTTTCCGCCGTTTGCGCGTTTATCGCGGTCACGTGCGGGGCGATACCGCTAATTACGTTCGCCAGGGCTCAACTTGACGCAGCACCGCGTCCCCCCCCCCCCCGCTTCGCTCCACCTCGTCTTTGCTTTTCACCTCGAGGCGGATTCGCGTAATTCGTTCGAGCCGTACTAATTATCGCGCGGCTCTCCCAGCCTCCCTTCGCGGAGAGACCCGAGTCATCAAGTCATAATGCTCACTTTCACCTACGACCGCCTCGGGTTGTGATTAAACTTTAATCAGAATCTAAGCGCCAGAGTCAACGAATACTCTCAGCCGCTAAGGAAAAAGAAAGAGCGCGCCATCCGATAGCCGCGGGAACGTTCCTGCCGTGAATGGACAAAGGTCCTTCCATTACACAATCGGTGTCTCGCGATTTCATCGCTTCACCGACTTCCTGGAATGGAAAAGAAGCTTCCTCTTGCCGGGAGGATCCGCCGACGACGTGATCGAAAAGCTGGAAGCGCCGGGAAGACGCGGCCGCATTGAAATACAAAAAGGTTTTAGTAACGCCTGATTGAAACGAGCAACATTCGCGTGTTTTTGCTCCTTTCGCGTTTTGGGCGTTTGTACTTTTCAGCGAGCCGTGGCGGGAGAGCCGAAAATTTGGCGAGCCTAATTACCAGGCGAACCGGTCCGCCGTCTTTTAACGTTGTTGTGCTTAATTGCTAATTTTACGAGCTCGCGCAGCCGACTTTCTCGACGCTTTTACGGCGAAACAGAAAAACCAAATGGGAACAAGTCGCCTGTTTACTTGTCGACTAAAGGCTGAGCGTTTGTCAAAACGTCTAAGTGAACACGCGATAAACATATCTGTGTCATTCTCTTTTTGGTCCGTCAAGCGTAATAGTTTATTGGTAACAATCTGGTAATTTTTAAGACACAAGACACTCGAAGGAAGTATTCTCGTTAAGTGGATCGAAGAAAATCATATTTTATTTGGTCTCAAAGTAAGAGAGAGAATATACAGTAGTTTTTTTTCTTTTCAAAGGGAGAGAGAGAGAGAGAGAGAGAGAGAGAGAGAGAGAGAGAGAGAGAGAGAGAGAGAGAGAGAGAGAGAGAGAGAGAGAGAGAGAGAGAGAGAGGAAGAAAGTAAGAATCATTTTAATTAGAAATGCAAGCTGATTCCTTCGTAGATCGTAGGTAATACTTTTCATGATCCGAGCGACCGCGTTTGCGTAACTGGCGTGCTTTGTAAACAAAATATGGCCGGATCAGTGCAGCTTTGTAAGTACCGTTCGTGGTAATCTGGTGCAATAAGTATACGAGAAAGCTAAGCGAGAACGCATAACAGCAATGAGGCGAGCGACTGGATGAGTGGATAATGACATGCACCAGCCTTCTATTGCGACTAAAGAAACCCACCAGCTGTAATGACTGAAAAGCGTTAACAGGGACGATAATAAGCGACGCACAAAATCTCGCGTTACGGTCGCATACGTTCGATAGACAAGGCCGTCGGTCTTGTGGTATTTATATATGTATTTTTTTTCCATCCTTATCTTATATTAATATTTCTCAAGTACGTTCCCTAATGTTTCTTTCTTTTCTGTTTTCTTCTCTCTGCCTTCTTTTCCTCAAATAATTTGCCGCATCGAGCTTTTCACTGCGCCTTCGTGATATTCAATTCGCGTCTCTTTCCACCTGCTTCGCGCTTTTCACGCGAGGTCAATCGATCAGGTCGTCGTAGAATTTTACTTTTCCTCGAACAAAAATTCAAGCACTTGGAGGCTGACGATTCTTGCGCATTAGCAAACTCTACGTGTTGTTTACCGAATTCCACTTGTACGCGGGCGTGAGCAAAGAGTAGAGCACGTGGGTTGCTCCAGTGTGGTCGCATGTGAAAGAAAAGGCATCGTATAATTCAGTTGCGAGCGCGTTGCATCTGGTGAGCCGCGATGCGTGGTTACCGCTATTTCCCTCGTGCGTTTCCCTCGAGGGCCGAGTGTATTCGAGCGTGGCATAAACTATATTTTTCTTCGTCTCTCGAAGACGACGGGAGCTGCCAATTCCTTCCGTAACACCGGCTGAACGTTTTAGAGTCGATAGAAACGTCAATTTTGATTGGTAACTTTTGATAAGTAACATGAGACAGTAGAGTAGAGCATTGCTGTTATATATTATTACAAATTACTTTCTTTACCATTGTTATGCTTATTGTCTAATCACGATTCTCTTTGTCGGCAACTCAGCGACTATGCTGCAGTCTGAGTGCATAATTATTAGGACGATCACCACCAGTTTTATTTATCTTCGTTTTATTTATTATTCAGTATCTCTGTACAAATTCTCTCTCTACATCCTGCTCCTCACTGGCCCGATCATTAGTGAAGAAAATTGGAAAATCGGCTGGACATTGTAAAAATCCCGCTTGTTTCTCCCTTTTTCTTCCAATATACACCGCGAAACACGTACCAGTCTCACTCGTACCATTCATTCGTCTGGTTGCGCAACATTCTAATTTATTGTTCTGTCGCGTGCAGGGAGGACAAGGCGGCTTCGAGGACGTGCGAAGATATGTCAAACAAGGAGGCGACTTTTGCAAAGAACTGGCGTCGATTCTTCATGAAAGGTATTATATTTGGTAGCCTGTGTCGCGTGTGTCTTTTACTGATCTTGCACGAGTGATTTTTCAAAACGTGAAAATTTTAGAGCCGAGTTGGAAGCGACTTACGCCAAAGGACTCAGCAAACTCAGCAGCAAGCTGACCAAGGCATGCGCCAAGGATCAAGGTAATTATTAGTGTCCTACTTCCACGAACTTTACACCGCTGTAATTTATCGTGCATTGCTGCATTCGGCTCGAAACGCGGTTGAATGTTAATCATTCAACCTAGCGAAGATTTCGCGATCGATTAACGTTCCTCATGCAATGTTTACCGTTTCATCGTAAATATCCGATTGAATAATTTATTTTCTCTTAATAAAGAAAAATTTCTGCGCACATAAGAAACTCTCTTTTTCTTTGAATTTATTTCCGACTACATCTTCCGCGTGCAAAGATTTCGACAAACATATTCAAAATTAAAAGTTGTTTGCTCGATGTCTTTTCCTAGCTTTTCCTTCGATCAATGCGTAAATTAATGCATCTGTGGATATCAATGTGATATTTCGGTGTCGGGCGGCGGCCACGTCGGCGGAGCGTATCTTCTGAGTGTCTTTTGCAATGCAGGTGGCAATAGTAGCGGAGGTGTGAACGAGGCATGGAGGTGTGTCGGCGAGGAGATGGAGGCTGCCGCGGAAGCCCACAGGGTATGGGGCATCGCGCTGAGCGAGCAACTCGCCAAACCGCTCCGAGTAAGTCCGACTTGCGGCAGATAATTACGCGTCGCGTATTGCAAAAGCGAGCGAGGGGGACTCCGAGGGAAAAAGTGACGTCACTCAGCGCGGCAATTGCGCTTACGTAATGCCGCATAGTCCCAGGCGCGATCATTGTAAAAAAACCGCGTCAAAGTAGGAAGTATCACTCTCGGCTAATGAAGTCGTGCCTTCGAAACGAGGATTTATCTGCGAGGATGACAATTAGGTAGATAAGAAGCAGCAAACCGTACTCAACAGTATCATCTTTCTTTGTTGCATTGTGACCTACCGATGATAGTGTCGAAGTTGATCACCATACCAAAGGTAGTTAGATTCAAATCTTATTTAATAGGACACTGTATATTATCTTACTATACGTATATATTATTATATACAATTTTTGATAAGTGTTATTTTGATAAGTATTAAAACCTAAAATCTCACGCGTAAAATTTGCAGTTAATTACGATTTGGCTTTTATTGGCTATCCAGTTGCCCTCATTAATTAATTATAGTATCTCGTAAGTCGATACGATACACCAAAGCCTTGAAGGCTTATCTTATCTTCGTGCGTATTCGATTGACGAGGAGGTTTGTCGAGTTTTACAAATGTTCGGTTAATAACTTTCCATAAGATCGCCGCGTGTTTAGACCGTTCTCCTCTGCGCGCATTTCTCGGCGAACGTCGAGTCGACTTTCTCTTGGCGAAGACTTCGATGCGGAGACACAAGTGTATACAATCGCGGTGAATGTCAGATATTGCGGCGCGTATCTCAAAGATTATCAGTACGGAAACACTGTGCTGAGCGATTGAGTGCTGACGTGATTGACGAAAGGACGCGCTTGTTTCAGGTGGGCGTAGCGGAGGCGCAGGGCCGATCAAGAAAGTCCATCGAGAACTCGGTGGACAAAGCGTCCAAGGCGCTTCAGGAATGGCGCGGGATCGCATCCAAGAGCAAGAAGCACAGCTTCGCGTGCGCCCGCGAGAACGAGAGGCTGCAGGACCTGGCACGGCTGCAGACCATCAGTCAGAGTCAGCAGAACAACAACACCAAGTCGTCGAGTCATCACATGACGGAAAAGGAGGCGAGCAAGCTGGAGACCAGACGGAGGAAGGCTGAGGACTCGTCGCGTAGGGCCGACACGGAGTTTTACACGGTGAGCGTGAGAGCAGAAAGGGCCAGACTGGAATACGAAAGCACCGTCAGGAAGGGTGCTAAGCAAATGGAGCTGCTCGAGGAGGAGCGGCTGAGCGCCTTGAAGGACCTGGCCAATGTATACCTGGCACATCTGCAAGCACTCGCGCCGCGACTGCAGCAGGTAATACGTCGTCATATATGCGACGGATGGAAGATTGATTATATCGCTTAAGATTGAATATGACGTTTCCTGACGAGTCATCTTGGGACTCGTTGAGACAAGCCGGCTGTCTTTTCGTGAAGGTCTTTGCGTGCGTGTCGCTTGGTAGAAAGAAAATTTCCTTTCCGTTGTAGGCGTTACTGTTCCTTGTGTATTTAGAATAATTCGTCTTAAAAAAGAGGTTTATTAAGAGATAAAGCAAACTTCTGTTCATTCATTATATTTTCGGAAGGCGTTATTTCTAGTTATTCTATTAATTAACGAGGTCATCGCAAGCGAGCGACAAGATCAACAAGTGAGTAGTTTAGATTGACAAACAAGACGTTTCTATTTTATTTTCAGAGCGCCGATCGCTTGCAGACACCTGTGCGCAGCTGCAACGTATCGCAAGACGTTGAGATCCTAAAAAATCTCATACGCCGGATAGACAGTAATGACACGACGAATGCGGAACAGTTGCTGCCCGATTTCTACGCTGAGCATGTCACGTTAGCGATGAACCGTGAACGGCGAAAGCAAGCTTTGGTGAGGGTATTGCATCTGATCAGACAAGACCTAGAAAGGGAGAAGCGGGGCCGTGAAGGACTGGAAACGTTGCATCGAGCTTTCATCAAGACACCAGCGTTCGCTGCTGATGAGAGCACGCAGAATGTGACGGACAAGCTGCATCACGTAATTTCTCGATATTTGCGAATTTAATGATATTTACGAATGATACCTCCATGACGCCAATTATATTTACCATATAACGCGATTGTTGTTTCTTTCCGCAGATGCGCTCGATGCTATTGTACTTGGAAGCGGCCAGATACAAAGTCAGCGGTACGCTTGCGGAAGTGGAGGGTAGCAAACGAGGCAAACATCCGTTATCGGAGCACATCTTGGTCTCGAGAGACAAGCAGGGCCTACAGCAAAGTGTTCTTAAGGTATGATCACTTGTCAAAGCTTTAGGTATTTTATGATGTTCAGTACGAATAAAGCATTAACTGTCAAGAAGTTGATGACGGATGAATACTGCTGGCATAAAAACAGAAACCGACTGACTGAGAATATCGGATGTGACAAATGTTATCTAACTGATAAATAGAAAAATTGAGCGATAATGCGATTATCTAATCCTGAGATTTCTTTTAATATACATACGGTGTTCTGAGAGATGAAAATTCGTTGGCTGTGTCTCGCATTAAACGTACGAATGTGTAGGGTAAAAGAAATATCGTGATGAAAATTATATGACGTTTTGTGTTTGCAGATTCCTTCTTGGGCAAAGAATGAATCCTTTGAGATTCAGGACGGCGACGATGAGCTGGAGATGCAATTAACGAAGGATCAGGATGCCGAGAACCGCGACTGGGCCGATCGGACGGCCGGCGACGGCAACTCCGAGAATCCTCCGGACGAGGACGACTTTAGCGATTTCGACGAATTTAGCAGTCACTCAGAGGACAACAACAACCAAGACGTTGACGGTACGGAAGTGACGGCAAAGACCGAGCGTGCAGAGCAATGTCGCGCGATCTATCAGTACTCGGCGAATCTGAACGACGAGCTGAGTCTCAGTCCGGGCGATTTGATAACCGTGCATCAGAAACAGGCGGACGGCTGGTGGATAGGCGAGTGCAGAGGTCGCACCGGCATATTTCCCGCTACTTACGTCCAAGTCATTCATTGATACATGCGAACGATGTTTCCCCACATCAACGAATACGTTCAGCGCAACTCGTTAATGCTCGCGGAATCCGCATGCGTGACGACGCAGGTTCTCTCACGCAGCAGCTTCTGTTTGGCTTCGCTAAAAAATTAGGTAAGAGTATTATAATGTGCCAATAACGTTTCACGCGACGATTATTTTACGCGCGCAAGTCGAGTATCGGTAGAACGACTGGAGAATTAGTACCAAATAGTAGTTACCATCATGTGCGAGATGGTCACCGCGGGGAGTTCCGCGCCAGCGGAATTAACTTAGTCGTGTCGTTGCTATTCGCTTATATTTCACATTTGTATCGTTGGTATCACTGCGATTAGTTTATTTATAAAGCTCCGAAAATGAATGAGACAGAAATAGAGAGAGAGAAAAAAGAAGATCGATATTTTGTATGAAATCTGACTATTTATCTATTCTTGTTAAGGATATACAGTATATTGGAAAAGTATAGGGAATCGCGTCGAGATTTCGCGTTGCTATAAACAATATATTTTTTTATATACACGCGCAATAAGAGAAAGAGAATCAAGTGCTAAAATATCGTAATAATGAAAACGGAGAAGTCTACGAGCTACGTCTTGATATTTTTATATATAATTTTTAAATACGACACGATCATCGTTAGTTAATCTAACTACGGGGTAATGCTTACAAAATAATCGCGATATTATCTTATCAGTGACTATTCCGCTAGCACAAGGTTATATCGATCCTTTACAGTTGGCATACTCTTATTTCTTGATATAATAATTATATGTGATCATTTCTTTATAGTTCATGGTTTTCTTTTCCAAAATTGTCAATTCATCTTTAAATTATTTTTAATATTTTCCGAGCACGCTGTATACGTACATCGCGTATCTCACGTTTACGACCAAGTTTTTCTCGTGTTCTTTTTTTCTTAATTTATTAAGGAATGTACTTGCTACTACTATACTATGAGAAAATAATCCAATTTTTGGAACAGCGGACATCGCGCCTGCTTACACGCGCGTATCGCATTTAATAAAGACGCGCATTAAAATGAACACGAGAACACTGTAAATATTATTATTTGTATTATGTGAAAATTTTCAATCGTATGTGAAAATTTTCAACTGTACATATATGAATATATCGGTTATTTAAGCATATTGTACCCGATGGAGTTGATAGCGCATTTATTTAGAAATATAATAACTTGTCTAATCAATAGTGGTTGTGCCGCAACTTTTCAATTCTCGGTTTCATCATAATAATCCTGTTCCAATTGCTTTTTCACTTCCTCGAGGGCGTCAGTGTTGTTGACTGTAAAAATATCAAAATGAGACGCCGCGGTAGCGGTAGTATCATTATAAGAACAACTATATTATTGTACAATGCAAGGAATATTTACTGCAAAATGGACTGCTACTCGCGGTAGCCACGTAAAATGTTCCACGTTTGTTGTACAATTCAGCTCGAATGCCCATCTCCGCGCAGGTATCGTGATTGCACGGATTTACGATTATGTTGGATATATTTTTAGACGTCCAATCCCAAGGATATCCCCAAAAGGTGCAATTGCATGTATTCGCAATCATCAATGATTCCGTGAAGTATTCGTAGGAACGTCCGTGACTACATGTCGCCTGTTCTATCACTAAAAATTTAATAACGCACTTGGCAACCATTTATTCTTTACGATCAATTTACGATTCAATACGATCATCTGATTAATACTAACCGTCGACGGGTATTGTTAAATATGATATAATGTTTAACGATTTGTCTTTTTTGCAGCCAGGTTGCGTTTTACCACCGTTTAAATAGAAATCAATACTGCCTGTAAGCAAAAACGTCAAAAGAAAAATAAAAAAAGGGACATTAAAAAAAGGGGACGTATGAGTTCCATTTACTTCTCTAATGTCTCTTTTTTTATTATTCATATATATGTGCGTGTGTATGAAAGTTCCATTATATATATAAGTGTATGTAGTTTATATACCTTACATATGTAACTAAAATGTAATGTAACGTCGTATCCAGACTTATGCGCTTCCTTTTATCTATAGATTTAATATCTCAACCACATTGTTAGAAATATTTATCATATAAAGGAAGCGCGGTAAGTCACCTTTACTGTACTATTAGGTGTACAACTTTGCTTCCGCCGTTTTTTTTTCGAAATTCGAGGCTTTATCGTAAAAAACTGGTTATACATTTACGATTCAAAGTATTGTCCATCGCTGACCACTACTTTCTCCCATCTTTCGGGCAGCGTACGAATCCCGCGTTGAAAAAACTGGTCATTTTTTGAAGCGATCCACGAATCGATCCAATTTCTTACTTCTTCATAAGACCGGAAGTGCTGGTCAACCAGGCCGTGTGCCATTGATCGAAACAAGTGATAGTTAGAGGGAGCAACGTCTGGAGAATACGGCGGGTGGTGTAGGACTTCCCATTTCAACGTTTCCAAGTATATCTTGACCACTTTCGCAACATGGGTCGAGCATTGTCATGCTGCAAAATCACTTTGTCGTGTCTCCCGTTGTATTGCGGCCGTTTGTCTTTCAATGCTCGGCTCAAACGCATTAATTGCGTTCGATAACGATCGCCTGTGATTGTTTCAGTCGGTTTTAACAGCTTAATACACTACGCCGAGCTGGTCCCACCAAATACAGAGCATGACCTTGAAGCCGTGAATATTCGGTTTGGCCGTCGACGTGGAAGCATGACCGGGATATGCCCATGATTTTCTGCGCTTGGGGTTATCGTAATGAACCCATTTTTCGTCCCCAGTCACAATGCGATGCAGAAATCCCTTCCGTCTTTCCGCCTTTCAAGCAACTGTTCGCAAGCAAACAAACGCCGTTCAACATCTCTCGGTTTCAACTCGTACGGCACCCAATTTCCTTGCTTCTGAATCATTCCCATGTCTTTGAGGCGTTTTGAAATTGCTTGTTGAGTCACTCCCAATGATCGTGTCAATTCTTCTTGACTTTGACACGAGTCTTCATTAAGTAATACCTCCAATTCTGCGTCTTCGAAAACCTTCTCTCTTCCAGCGCTATGCCGGTCTTCGACGTGAAAATCTTCACCGTTCTTGAAGCGTTGAAACCACTCACGACACGTTCTTTCACTAATAGCGGCCTCACCACACGTATTTGAGAGCAATCGATGAGCCTCAGCCGCAGATTTCTTCATATTGAAGCAGAAAATTAAAACCTCCCGCAAATGACGAGAATTTGGCTCGTAAACTGACATTTTCAATCGAAAATAACTTTATGCTGCAGATACAAATCGACTAATGTTTCTATGGGGTCATGTTGACAGATGCCCAAGTTTATTGCATGACGTCTATGATCTATTTATTTCGACCACTACTTACCGCTAAAGCCATCTATAGGAAAACGGCGGAAGCAAAGTTGTACACCTAATATATTATACAGAGTGTTTCTGAATGGTCTGTACAAACTTTCAGGATATGTTTCAGGATCACCAAAACAAGCAGAAAATGTCATATAAATATGGGGTCGAAAACGCTTTTTTCCAGAGTTATAACGGTTTGAACGGGTTTTCTGCAGTAGAAGAAATTATAACGTTAAATCGTATAGGAGGTGCACAGAGAGAACGATTTAGTTGAATCTAACAAATGCTTATTTGGAATAGTCGAAATAAATTTTTTGATTGACCGAACAAAATTTTGTTTGACGCAACAAAAACATTTCGTTGGAACTAAGCTGCAACAAAATATTTTTGTTGCGTCAAACAAAATTTCGTTCGATCAATCAAAAAATTTATTTGGACTATTACAAATAAGCATTTGTTGAATTCAACTAAATCCTTCTCTCTGTGTGCAAACTGTATTTATTTATTTCTACGGATATAACAAGACAATACACTTGCTATAGCAAATGCTCAAAATGCCCTCCGTTATATTATTCCAAGGAAGCCTGTGCACGTCGCTGATTGGCGAACCCGTTGGAAAATACCAGATATATTACGGATGATGTCGCAGCCATCCAGGATCCGCTGACGAAGAGTTGCAACATCTGGTACTGGGGCAGAATAAACAAGAGTTTTCAAACACCGCCAGAAGAAGAACTTTTTCAGACTTTTCTAAACTTTTTCAGACCGTCGAACTCCAAATCATCAAACTTCAGCAATTAATCGGCGATTATGAGAAATTGGGCAATTCAGGCCGGTAACAGCCAACAATGGTGCTCCAAGAACTGTTCGAGAACTGTTTGAATCTGATGTTGAAGAGAGAAAATTTTTCTCAAAACGGCTCTTTGAATTGTCGTGACTCTTCTTCTACTGCAGGAAAATTTCGAATCGTCATAACTTTACAAGTAAACGTTTTCGACCCCCCATGTTCATATGACATTTTCTGATATGATATTTTCTGCTTGTTTAGTTCCTGAAACATATCCTGAAAGTTTGTACAGACCAGAAACACAGAAACCAGAAAAACAGAATTCAGAAACACTCTGCATAAGTTGTACCTATAGGTTCAGGAAGACCGAGACCTAAGTTTAGAAGATGCCTCCCGTTTGTATGTATCACATCAACGAATGGAGCGTCCTTGGCGTCCAGATGAATCGATCGATCGGTATTCCTGAAACAGGGTTGAGCTGGATCCAAACCAGTGATCCTTTGCACCAGCCATTTGTTATTTCGCTTCTTCAATTCCTTCGCGGTAACTCCGCAAATGTGAGCGCCGAGACTATGTCCTATCAGATGCAAAGGGCCCCAATTACTTGTATCTGGTCCTTTGTCGTTGATCGTAGTATTCGTTAAATGTTCTATAAATCTTTGCAAACGAGTTGATTTTAAGAAAACGATCGAATCGATAGGACGATTGTTCAAAAGATGTATGACAAACAGACGAACATAAATTAAACGGGTTGAAGTGACACAAATAACATAAATATCTATAAAACATCTTAGAAGCACTTCTACGATTATTTTTTTATATGACCTTTAGGCATTTTCGAGATTTATCTTAGACAGTGATATTATTTAGAAAAAGATAATGTCATAAAAAAATTGAGAATGTCTCGGTGTATGTATATATATATATATATATATATATTTATATAATTAATCGGAATAAGTGAAAATGTAATTTGTAATTTTTTTAATTTTAATGAAGTACTATCAGTGTGCCTTTTATCAGGCATTAACTGCAATGTAATCGACATCTTTTGAACTTTTGCATTTTTCGGGTGGAGTTATATTCTCATATCGCACGCGTTTATGCATACTTTGAGATTTGATATCCTACTATCCTGGTATTGACCGCCGCCTTGTAATAATTCAACGTATTACTACCAGCACTCCAATCTATCACCACTACGTTTACGTCATTCTACGGATAATTTAACGCAAGATGAGCATTTATATATCGATATATATTTATATATCGTGATATCGCGGCTAATCACTTACCCACTCGAGACACGTCTTCTCCATGTTCTTGACCCAATCAACTCCGCCACTCGACAAAAAACCGTGCACTATTATCATCGTCCGTCGTTCTATCTTGAAGTCCGTCCACTGTAGACCGAATTGTTCGCCAAGCACTACTTCCACACGACGTGGCTGTTTTCTGGTGGACATGAAGAATCGTACATCCAGCGCGTAGCTTCCGTTGGGCTCGCTCATAAAGTGCTGTTCCAGAACCTTCGCAATATTTTCACCCAATCCCAAGCAATCCATCAGTTTAGACTGGGACTCATTCGTGGGCAGGTTGTACGTAAAATTCGCCAGGCTGATATTGTTGGGTTGCAGCAAGGTTTCCGCAACGTTCGACGTGTAATTGTGCAGATTACGGAATACTTGAGCCACATGGGTCTGTGATTTACTAAGAAGATTTGGAACAGTCAGTCTGGCAGACTCGCCAGCGAGCACGAATAGAACGACTGCGAAAGCGACGTACATCCTTATCGTCACGTCGAATCTTAATGTTGTGAATACATTCCTGTTGGCGTGCAGTTATATACGAAGCGCTCGATCACGTTTACTACCCAGTAAAAACATGTATCAGTAGCATAACATTGATATTAGAATATCGGCTCAAATATGTACGTTTAAGTGCGTTACGTAACAGGGAATTATATATCACGTACATGTTACCGACACGTGTGATTTACTGGA